TGCAGTCCGCGCTCCCGGCGCCCCGCCCCGGAGCCAGGAGCGCGCTTTTCCCACCTGAAACCCCGAGAAGCCGGGGTCTGGTTTCCTGATCCTTCCCTGCCAGGGTGTCCTGTGTTCCCTCAACAGACGTTCGTCAGAGCCCGCAAAGATACTTCCTGATAGTCTTGATACACTCGGGGAAGGCGCCTAAGGCTGTCAGGTGCCAGCCGGAGGAAGCAGCTGGCACTGCCGCAGGAAATCGAAGCCATTTACCCTCTTTCTCTGCGCATTTCGTATTTTACACCATCCACTCTGCCATCAGAGAACACAAATGATTTCATGCCACCCCTCTTATTCCTCTTAAGCATTTGTGGTGTTGAGGTTTGTTTTTCTAAATCCACTCCTCCTCTTGATTTTCTGGGATATTAATCCCCACCTTTTAACCAGAGTTTTGAGTGCATATTTTGGGGGGAACAGTGGACTGTTTTTGTCAACTATCTAAAGAAAGGGCTCAGCATTCTGGTTACAAATACTATGAGCGTTTACCCTGCACCAGGCCTAGCAGGAGCCCCAGGGGACCTGCCAGGCGCTGCAGCCTTTCTTCCGGAGCTCACAGTGTCCTGTGGGACAAGTCCCAATAAACGAGTAAATAAATTATGACGAAGCTAAGAAGGAAACCTAAGGGTGGGCTCTGGAAGATGTGCGATTCAGCTGGACAGGCACAGAAGGCTGCCCACAATCCACCAGTAACAGAAGACTGGGATGGGAGATGTCATACTCTGTTGGGGGCTTGGGAGGGCTTGTCCATCTGGAAAGGCCCTAGAGAAAGTCTGTGTGGCTGGAGTTAAGTGACAAGAGGTGTGAGGTGGCCAGGAGCCCCAGGAATGGGTCTTCTTGGCTTTAAGGCCTTGATACATCTGATCCGAGAATAGGGAACGCAGCTACTGCTCAATCCCCAAAAGCCTGCTGCACACTCTGATAACCCTTTCAAACCTGGTGTGGGGGCATCCACAGGGGCAAAGGAAAGGACAGACAATTAAACCCCAGAGTAGAGCTGAAGGGGTGAGGCGTGCATAGCTATAATCCCTGCCACTTGTGAGGCTGAGGCAGGAAGGTGGAAAGTTTAAGGCAAGCACAGTGGTAGTGTGTGTGTGCCTAGCTTGTGCCAGGCCCTGTGCTCAGTCCGCCCTGGTACCACAAAAACAAACAAACCAAAAGTCCTCACAGGCTATGAGGTGGTTTGTTTTCATCCTGAAAGAGAAGGGAAGAGAAAGCTGCCTTCTAATTTCCACATTTTGCCCCAGCTGCCCCCCTCACAGACCTTTGGCTTCTCCCCCCTCTCTATCTCTATCTTCTGGGCAGAGCCCAGCTCTGCCATTCACCTTCCTGAGCCTGTGCTAGGCACCCCGAAGGTTTATAGCCATCCGGAAAGACATGGTGCTCCTAAAACTACAGAAGACTCAGTGCTCTTGTCATGGCAGGTGAGCCAAAAATAGAAGCAGGAGAAAGTTCTCTTACTGTGTAGTTCCCGCTGGAGAGTGAGATAAGAGAGAGAAGGAGTTTAATTTAAAACCTATTGGCATTCTTTGTCTTCCTTCTTGACCTTGTTGCAATGGGCAGTGGACTTTCTCCCTTCTGGCTTTTTGTTTTCTTTGAGATAGTCTGTGTAGATGAGGCTCATGGTGATCCTCCTGCCTCAGCCTCCCTTGTGAGTTCTTCCCTCCCTATGCTCACACCATACCCAAAGTCATCCTAAGAGAGGCCTGCTGTAGACTGGACATTTCACATACATTATCATTTCTGCCCTCCAGACAAACTATAAGAAAAGAGGCACTGTGCTCACTGTGGGGATGAGAACCCAAGGCTCAGAGACAGCAATAAAGACTGAAGTAGGCTGAGACAGCTATGCACAGGCCAAGATAAGCCTGAGCTCCAGGCGTCAAGTCCCTAGCTGGTTCCCCCAGGAGCCCTGCATCTGGCAGGCCTACTCAGGACACCACAGTGGCAGCAAAGCCGTGTTTATTGGATGCTCACCTGTCTCTGCAGAATTACCTGCCTCCTTCCGTGTGACTTCCCTTTCCCTGGCTCCCTGTGGGGTCCTTAGATTCTCAGGTCAGCCTTGGGGAGGACCCAGGGAACCCACAGCCTGAGATACTCCAGGCAGAGAGCAGTTTCCTGGCCACATGCCAGAGAAGCTGTTAGGTTTCCCACCTGCCGTCCCTTTCAGCGCACAGTGTGTGACGCCTTCCACCGTGGGCTGCTTCTGACCGGAGCATGTGTCTCCTGGGTGCACCTTCACTCACAGCACAGCGCCCTGGCACTGGTCAGCTTGGCTTGAGAGATTCACCCGGCAGAGCCCATTCCCTAAATCCATTTTAACACAAGGTACAGAGAGAGAGAGAGAGCGGTAAAAGCCACCCCTGCATCACAGCAGCAGAGATGACCAAGTTAGAGACGCAATATGGAAAAAGCAAAGTCACAGTCTGTAATCCAAGATCTGATTCACTTTTCAAAGCTGTGGAAGATCAAGCTATGGGTTTAAAACACTAAAAGAAGAGAGCAAAGTGTGCTTCCAAAGCAGTCTGTGTCTTGCCTTCACAGCAATGCACATATTTAAGTGAAAACTGGCTCTGCTGTTCTTCCCGCCCTGCTATTAATAATCCATCAAGTGATCAGTACCCCAGGCGAGCCCTTCTGAGCTCCAGGAATTCATCTGCTCAGGGTGGAACTTCTATTCCCTTAGAAACTCCTTTTACTTTTGAAATAGAGGACATGTATTCCAAATAGAAGACAACCCACCATATATATATATATATATATATATATATATATATAGAGAGAGAGAGAGAGAGAGAGAGAGAGAGAGAGAGAGAGAGAATGCTTTCAAAAATGTTCAATTATAAGCCAGGGATTTAGCTCAGCGGTCCCGTTGCCTGCCTTGCAAGCGCAAGATCCAGAGTTCGATCTCAGGTACCCCCCCCAAAAAAAAGTTCAATTACAAAATAATATGAGTTCATTGCAGATTTGGAAAATGCATAGCGGTTTTAATTTTTAAAACTTCATTCTTAACTTTGCCATCAAGCAATGACCACTGTTATATTTGGTATATTTCTTTTCAGGTTTGTGTTGTGTAGGCATATAGGAAAGGAGAAAGAGGTTTTGTTTTTAAAACAGAAATTGGAACCCTCCCACTATGGAATCCTCCCCAGCGCCTGCCTGTGAAATTCCACCCCTCTTGTAGAAGAACTAGGAGCCCACTCTGTGGGGTGTAATTAGGGCAGGAAAGCTCTGCCTTAGAGAAGGGCTGGAGGGAAACAGTTTAGAGGACACATGCATCCCCTCCAGAGGATGCAGCCTTTACAGGACTGAGACACTACCATACATACTGTTTTGCATCCAATTGTTCTACTTTTTTGGTGGCACAGTTATTGAGCCAATATTCATTGAGCAACTACTCTGTACCAAGAACTGTGCTTCCCATTGGTCACAGAACAGTGAAAAAAGAAGACTTGCCCCTCTCCAAGTGAACGTGCAGTGTGATGGGGAAGATATATATTTTAAAAATTACATGCATAAATGTGTAATTATCGCAAATGCCATGAAAGGATGAGGCGGTCTGCAAACATGTAATAAAGAAATGCCTAGCAGACATTTGTTGCTCATCTCTGCAAGATCCATTCCCCCAGCTTGCTGCAGTCCTGCGTTTGGGTTTGAGGACACAACTCACACTGGACTTTTTACCTTTAAGTGTGGTGCACAGGACCCAGTCCTGCCAATCATCATTTTTCTTTCCCATAGCAACAATTCTTGGTTTTAAAATAGCCATATGCCCAGTTGAGGAACCCAAACCAATGAGAAGAAACCCTGGGACATTTCCTGGAACCCTCTTTGAGAAGCACATCTGCTCTTCCTCCTAGGTTTGAATGTGAAAGAGGAAGTTGAGGCTGAAGCCGCCATTTTAGCTCCACAAAGATGAGCTTCTTAGGAGCCACCGTCAAGACCATCAGACCAGTAAGTGGAGAAATGAAGCAAGTCCTGATGACACTTTCTGAGGGCTGGATCAAGCCTGAAGCCAACCCTGATCATTTTGGTTACCTGAATCAGTTTGGGTTGTTCCTGGTGCCCAGGATGATTCTAGAAACAAACGTGTCAGGGAAAGTTTCCTGGGGTGGGGATGTGTAAACTGACCTGAGTAGGAGTCACAGCGGCCTGGAGAGGCCAACAGTGCAGAGCCATGGACATGGACACAGGGGGAACAGGGGGCGCATCCCAAGCAGGAAAGCCACAGCAGGTTGCATCAAGAAAGCCAGTCCAAGTCCTAGTCACAAGTTTGCCTGTGCCTACATCTTGATGTATTTCCCCTATGTTTTCTTTTAGCAATTAAACATTTCAAGTCCTACATCTGAGTCTCAGGTCATTGACCCATTTCAAGTTTACTTTTGTACAGAGTGCGGGATAGGGTCTAGCTTCAGTCCTCTACGTGCGGCTAACCAGTTTCCCTACCACCAGGCATTGAAGAGGCCATCTTTTCTTTGATCTCTGCTTTTGGCTCTTTTGTCAAGAGTCAGGTGGCTGGAGCCAAGCATGGTGGTGCATGCCTGTAATCTAAGCCCTCTGGAGGCTGAGGCAGAGGATCACTCTGAGTTCGAGGCCAGCCTGGGCTATATGGTAAGTTCAAAGCTAGCCTGAGCTACATAGTGAGAACTATCTCAAAAAAATCAAGATGGCTGTAGGTGCATGGGTTTATTTCTGGGTCCTCTATTCTGTTCCATTGGTCTATATGTTTGTTTTTATGCCAGTTCCATGCAATTTTTGTTACTATAGCTTCATGGTATGATTTGATATCAAGTATTATAATAACTCCAGCACTGCTTTTTCTCAAGGTTGCTTTTTGGCTGTTGGTCTTTTGTGCTTCCATATGAGTTTTAAGGGGTTTTTCCCCCTAGTTCTTTGAAGAATAATATTGGTATTTTGATAGGGATTTTATTGGATCCATACACTGCTTTTAGTAAAATGGCCACTTTAACCATATTAATTCTGCCAGTCCATGAACATGCAAGGTCTTTGTATCTTCTAGTGTCTTCTTTGATGTCATTCTTCAGTGTACTGTAATTTTCACTGTAGAAGTCTTACCTCCTTGGTTAGGAATCTAGAGGAAAATAATAGGGCCACATGAAAATGGAAGAGAGACTTTCAGAGAAGGGGAAGAGGAATGGAGGGAGCACGGAGGTAGAGTGAGGACAGATAATGGGGTGGATATGACCATAATGATACAGGAAATAATACTGGAGATGAAATATGAAATACTATATCTCCCAACCTGTTAGCTGCATAATAGCCCAAGCTCTTCTTCTCTAGAACTCAAAGAGTGAGTCCTAGAAACAACAGAGGCTAAGTGTAGGAAGATATTTATTGATAGGAAAGTTCCTGAGAAGAAGGAGGGCACCCAAGTGGGTAACCAGGGACCCCACTTTACAGAGGACTTTTATAGAGTGAAATCCACATGGGTACAACATGGGCCATAGCCATGAACATCCAGTAAGGTTACAAGTATAGTCACTCAGGTAATGGTGGCCCAGTTGGGGAACAAGTCACCAAACAACCGTGGATGGAAAGAACAAAGATTCTCCTAGGAAGTGGTGAGTCAGGAGGTCTCAGATCACCCAGGTGGGTGGGTGATGTCTGCCTAGATTTCATTAGGCCTAGGGTTTGTTCTTTGAGAAAGTCTGTAGGTCTGGTCATCTTGTCTTTATCTTGAGGCCTGGTTTCCAAATGATGTGTCTCTGGCTGTAGCTGTGGTGTGTTTCACCTTTGTCCAGACCCTCTCAAGGACCGAGCACTGTCTGACTGCCTATAATATTTCTACCTAACTCTCTGTCTATAATAATAATATATAGAGTGTGTAGCAAAGGAGGGAGGATGCAGGGACACTCATTAAGAGGCCTAAAATATTTCAAGTGAGAGATTATATGATGTTTCCAGCAGGAGGGTTGAAATAAATTTTTCACTTAAACTTATAATGTAATAATTTCCCAGTACTTATTTCTACTTTTAAAATATATTTAAAGGGCATATGATAGTCCATTCTTTCTTGGGCCATTCATATACTGTTTCCTTATAACTGAATAAGTTATGTAATTCCTGCCATCTATGTCCTTATAACTCAATACAAATATAGTTTCCAGTTTTACAAATACTGTAACTGCAGAAGTAATATAATTTGTGAAGTCTGTGTCCTTCTAACTAAGTACAGAGATTATTTCCAGTTTGATAAATACTATAACACAAATTAAGGACATAAAATTTGCATCCAACTTTCTGGTTACCTCAGGATACTTCATAAAATTCAAATTACTGGTTTAAAGTATAAATCTTTTAAGTTTTCAGTATCTATTTGTATAGATTTACAAATAAGAAGGGCTGACCAGTATACCCTAGTATACAAGAGTCCCTGTTTTGCCACATTCCCACCCGTGCAAACAACCCATGCCACGCTTGAGTTAATAAATGTCAACATCAAAGTTCCCACGGAATTTAATGAGAGAACACACACACACACACA